TTTTTACAAAACATTCGCAAATTCAATAGGATTTGACCAGCTTGCACAATGGATCAATTATTTAATAAAAAATTAAAAATTTCATAATTTTTTATTGAAAATAGTTGCAAAAATAAATAAAATCACTTCAGTCTTGACATTCACTTAACACTGAATTCACCGTCTTCGATCGTGCAGTTGGCTAACAAGTTTATATATTTGCGATCTTGGAATTTTCTCAGCTTCGCGATGATGAACCGGAAACTCCTTGTTAGTGAACCATGATTCTTTTGCCAAGCCGGCTGCAATTGCTGGATTTTTATAAAAGGGATTCACTAATTCTGGTGGTAATTGAGATTCGGCGACTGCATTTTCAACAACGGCAGCATGAGCGACGCTTTCTGTAGGCTGAGGGGCCGCAATTATCGTTGGGTTAACTCCGGAGTGGAAAACTGGAGACACCAAATTGTAGGAGGAAATAATCGGACTTGAATTCACCAATGAGATGATGCCACATACTGCTAGGAGCAAGCTGGTCATTATGGCCTGAAAACACACGAAACGAGTTTATTTTTATTAATTTGGCAATAATTGTGGTAAAAAATCAGTTGGCAACATTGAATTATGACAAATGACTGGACTTGACGACTAAAATTCGCATTATTCACAATGTTACCAACTTCATTTTGAAATCGTAGGTTAGTTTGAACTAAATAGTTATTTTTATTAATTTGACAATACAACTCTATTGGTAAAACTGAAATATGACAAATGACTATAAAATTGTGACGTTTGAATTTGATCGACTATGTTTGTGATGTGGCTTATTTGACAGCAAAATTTCCTAGTTCACAATCTTGCCAACTTAATTTCAAAATCACAGGTCATTATAAAAATGCAACAATATTTAGGTGATTATAATGTAACAAATTAAACCTTAACCTTGTAATGAGAGATACCAGGAACTGGAAGTTCTAATAATTCCAACCGCTCAACCTCGTGAAAGGAGAAACAAGGTGAACTGCTGTACTTGAGAGTATTATTCAGAATTCCAAAATAAAATACATTGCTTGTTTTTAATAACAGAATTAAATAAATTCTTCAAATACAAAAAATAATTGAAAAAAAATTAAAAATTAAATTGTGAAAGTCTGCTTTAAAAACGAGTTAATTATGTAAAAATCTCACTAAACAAAGCAAAAAACCTAAAACAAAGTGCGAAATTCGTTTTAGACCATTTTTCATCA